TGGCAGGGCTTGGTCCATAAATGCAGTGGGAACCCAGCTGAAGGTGAACTTCCTGTCCTGGCAGTTGTTTTCAGACCTGCAAATGGAGTCATATCCAAGCCAGGGCTTCTTCCAAGCATTTTGAAAGGCAAGGAGAGGAAGAGTGTTTCAATAGGCTCCATATATGATGCACACCATATATGAGGCTGTCGTGACTGTTATTTGAGTTTTGTATTATTAAAGAACCATTTCAGTGGATGGAGAGATGGCTCAGCAGTTAAGAGCATTGACTGCTCTTGCAGAGGACCCAGGTTCAATTCCCAGCACCCACATGGCCGTTAACAACCGTCTATAACTCCAGTTCCAGGGGATCCGACACCCTCTTCTGATCTCCTCAGGCATTGCACGATATGGGTGTACTTACATACATGCAGGAAATAGACTCATACACATAAAATAAAAATAATAAATAAAATACTTTTTTAAAAAAAGAACCATTTCAATGAGAAAAAAATGTAGTGATTGTGCTGGATAGCTCTTTTTGTCACCTTGACACACCTGGGAGGAGGGAACCTCAAATTGGGGAGTTTCGTCTATCATATTGGCCTGTGGGCATGTCTGAGATATTTTTCTTGATTATTGAGTATTATGGGAGGGCCCAATCCACTATGGGTGGTGCCACTCCTGGGCAAGTAGTCTTCAGTTACAGAAGAAAGCAGGCTGAGCACAGGCCAGGGGAACAAGCCAGGAAGCAGCATTCCTCTGTGAATCTGTGTTTCAGTTCCTGCCTCTAGGTTCCTACCTTGGTTTCCCTTGATAATGGACTGTGAGCTGTAAGCTAATAAACCCTTTCCTCCCTAAGTTGGTTTTGGTCAGAGTGGTTTATCAAAGCAACCTAAAAGTAAATAGAACACTTCTGACTCCAAAGGCTCAGGGATCATTGAAGAAGAGAGAACGGAAAGATTGTAAGAGCCAGAGGTCGTGGATGATCACAAGGAAACAGAGTTTTTCAGACAGGTGATCAGTGACTTATATGAACTTACAGCAATGGTGACAGCATGCACAAGTCCCATGTAATCTCAAGCCACACAAAATCCCAGCATAGATGTGGGGCAGTAAGAAACTGAATCCTACCTGAGGAGTGTTTGGCAACTGATGACTCCTGGGAAGAAGAGATTCAGTCTTGCTTAAGAGTGAAACTTTTGTGCTTGAAACATAATATATCCTCTCTCAGATTTCTTCTGGCCTCCATTGTTCCTTGTACCACTAAACAGAGCCGAAGGCAATATTCCACTCCCCCAGTTTGTACCAGTGTGTAATAAATAAAGTGCATGGCTTCCTTAGAGAGCCTTTAATGGAGAGTCTTAAGGTCATGTACAATAAGTAAATACCAATTTAAAACCAATTTTCAAAGTGTGAAGTTGTGTGCCCAAGTTTACTTACAAAATAATGGTCAGACAAATAAGCAATTAATATCGTGTCTAGTTGCTGAGAGGCTTTTTGGAATGATTGTACTGATTAAGACAGACCAGGAGGCATGGACAAAGCATGTACCGACTTCCGATTTATTTCCACCTTGCCTTTCCCTCAGGAACTACATGAGTGGTGAAATAAATGAGGTCCCCATTCTCCATTGTGATTACACACTGCTGATGAGTGGGCAAGAGTCCATTGGACTTGAGTGTTGAACATTGTCACTGCTTGTTAATCAGATTGAGCCGTAATTTTTAAATTAAAGCCCAAGAGGCTCTGGTACTTGCCCATCTGTTTATACTCTCTCAGTGCTGATGACTAACAATATAATTATTTTCAATTGTCCAGAGACTTCTTGCCAGGCAGTTTGAGACCTCAGTGGCTGTTGGACTCAGAGAGACCCTTAGAGAGTAAGGACCTGTCAGGAACTCCAACCAAGTAGACCTTAGAACTCCCAGATAGAGGGGATGGGGACTCAGAAATAATATTCCTAAATTTCTTCATCATCTTGCATGTGGGAATTTCCTATCAAGAGAACTAAGAAAGCAAGACTTAGCACTGCAATTCAGACTGAAGTGAGGCTGTTGTGAGGAGTCTTGGCTTGTCTCTGGTTCCTTGTGTTTCCACCATTCTGCTCTCACACCAACCAGGGCTGTTCAGTGCTCTTGTTAGCACTTTTTATCATAAGAGCATGGATCAGCCAGCCTTTTGCCACTGTGACAAAGTAGCCGAGATGAACAAATTAAAAGGGAAATAGTTTTTCGGCTCACAGTTTCAGATGATTCAGTCCTTGGGTCGCTTGACTCCAGGGTTTCTGGGTCTGTGTTGAAGCAGAATATCATGTCAGGGAGCATGTGGCAAAGGAATGTTGCTCACTTTATGGCAGCTAGGGAGCAGAGAGGGAGAGAGAGAGAGGAAGGGAGGGAGAAGGGAGCGAGAGAGAGCGTGAGCACCAGGGACAAAACATAACCCTTCAAGGGCATGCCTCCAAAGACCTACTTCCACTACCTAGGCCCCACCTGATACAATTTCTACCATTTCCCAATAGCTGACTGAGGTAGGAATCCAAGAATGGATTGATCCATCCATGAGGTCAGGGTCTTGATGATCCTATCACCTCTCTCTGAACTGCAATGGGGACCAAGTTTCAATACATGAGATTGTACAGGATGCATAAGATCTAAACCATGGTAGAGCATTCACATTTGAATTTTTTAGAGTTGCCTAGGGAAGGCAGAGATGATTTTTCTGTGAGTAGATAATGTGGGGGAGGGGTACGTTTTCTTCAACTTCATGGTGCAAATGTCTACCTCTGTCAGTTCTACTCAAGGCAAGCCTCCATGTGCAATGATTCTTTGCCTTCTAACACGTGCTTTTGGTACAGACTCCTGTACCTTCAGGTACCCCATGATTTATGGCCAGATTTATTTTACAGATTCCTCTCTATGGAAATGAGTATATTACTAAAAACTATTCTGTGCATTGAACTTCTTGGTGATTTGTATCTTTTCTGATATATTTCACCGTCATTTTAGTGCAGTACCAATGAATAACGTGCATTTTTTGAAATAGCACCTTTATTGAGATATAATTCATGTGTCATTCATTTCACCCATTAAAAGTTCACCACACAGTGACTTTTAATATATATTGACAATGTTGTATATCCACCACCACTATCACACTCCAGAATATTTTCATAACCCCCAAAGAAATCCCATACCCATTAACAGTCCTACCCATTTCCCTACCTAACTCTTGTCCCTAACAACTACTAACATGCTTTCTACTCTTCTCTATAGATTTGTCTGTTCTAAATATTTCATATAAATGGAGTCATGCAACATGACCTTTTGCATTTGGTTTCTTTTAGCTGACATGTATGTTCAGGGTTTCCCCATACCTAGCATGTATTTGTATTTTATTTATATTTATTTGTTTATTACTAATTCATTGTGTGTGCATGCACATATGTACCATGGTATACATGTGGAGGTCAGAGGACAACTCTCAGGAGTTGGTTCTCTTTTGTGAGGTCAGGAAACAAACTTAGGTCATCAGATGCTTTAACCTACTCAGCCATCTCTTCAGTCCATCAGTTCTTTTTATTGATGGATAATATGCCTTTGAATGGATGTAACATGCTCAACTGTTGAGCATTTATGTTGTTTCCACTTTTGGTTGTAATGAACAATGGCACTCTGAACATTCATGCTTAAGTTTTTGCATGGACATACTTTCAGTTTCTTGGTTATAACCTGAGGCATGCAGAAACTCTTCCCTGAACCTTAAAAAAAACAACTATTGAGCCATTTTTCAAAAGATCAGCATCATTTTCACCAGTGTTGTATGAGAATTCATCCTTGTCCATTGCTTACCAGCACTTGCTGTTTTCCTTTCTGAGGATTATTTTTCAGTGTTATATGAATTTGAGGAAAAGCTTGTCAAGTTCTACAAAGCAGGGATTCTGAGAGGGATCACATCAACATGGATCAATTTGAGGAGTATTGTCATATTAACAATGTTAGATCTTACAATCCACAGATATGGGATGTTTCCATGTCCATTTATTGAATATTTAACCTCAGTAATATTTTTTAATTTTCAAAATGTAAATTTCCTACTTGTTTTGTTAAATTTATTCCTAAATATGTCAATGTGTTTTTAAAAGAGATTTGAATTTTTTTATTTTACATGTGTGTGTGTGTGTGTGTGTGTGTGTGTACCACATGTGCATGGTACCCGCAGAGGCCAGAAGAGGGCGTCAGATACCTTAGAGTTGGAGTTACAGGTGGTTGTGAGGCACCCTGTATCAGTGTTTGGAACCAAACTTGGATCCTTTGGAAGAACATTAAGTACTCTTAACTGTTGAGCCATCTCTCCAGTCCCTCTTCTATTTTTTTAAATGTTATTGTGAATGAAAATGTTTTCTTTCTTTACTTTTTTTCCTTGATGTTTTTTAGACAGGGTCTCCCATAATCCCAGATGGCCTAGAACTCACTTTGTAGACAAGGCTGGCCTCTATCTCACAGAGATCTGCCTGCCTCTGCCTCCCAACTGCTGCAATTAAAGGTGTGCGCTACCATGCCCGATTTTTCTTTTTTTAAGATACACATTTTATTTTGAGACTGGTTCTTGTGTATCACCAATCTATTCACATCTCTCTTCCATTTCCATTGAACCATAGCCCTGGGGTGTCACCTTTTTTTTCTATTAGGCACTTCAGAGGGAGTTCATTAACAATTTAGTTTTAAGGATCTTACCTCTGAAAATTAAGGTTTTGGGAGTCTAAAGTGGAACTTGGGAACCTGATTATTGTAAAAATTTCCTATAGGCTTCCGAGGATTCATGAGTATTAGGAACCACTGGCCTGTCTAGGCCAAGGGGCTTGGGATGAGTCAGCTCTCAACTGGATCACTACAATGGGGTTTAGAAAGTTGGGTTAAGGAAGGAAGCCATCCCAGATGACAGCTAAAAGAGGGGAATTCAGAGCTTAAGGATGGGAGCAGAGGCTGCCAGCCAATGGTGTCCCTCTTTCTGCCCCTCAGTGGCCCGGTATCGCGTGACTGTATGCACAGGAGAACTGGAAGGTGCGGGGACTGATGCCAATGTCTATCTCTGCCTTTTTGGTGACGTGGGCGACACAGGGGAGCGACTGCTTTACAACTGCAGGAATAACACCGACCTGTTTGAGAAGGGCAATGTAAGTTGCACTGATGTGCCTCCCCACCCACTCCTGCTTTGTCCTCTTATCTTCACTATACTTTTTAAGTAGAACTGATGGCTGCTGTTCGGAGCTCAGCAACCAATGGGGAAAGTGTCAGGTAGGTCTGCAGGAAAGCCAGCCTTGGGTGCATCACTCCACTCTCCTACCTTCTACTTTTTTAATATCTAAAATGGGAGAAAGGATGCTTGCCTATGGCCAGCTGTCATAAGGATTAGGAAGGACTGATGCCCTGCCTAGGGTTTTGATGTGGCTCACAGCACATAATAAGTACCCAGTAAAGAGTAATTGTTGTTATAATGTGAAGTTGGAAGGGACTTATAGGTGGAGGGGATTTTCAGTTGTCTCCGCTCTCCCTCCTCCCTCCACTGTCACTTCCTTGGTGAGAGCAGGGTGAGCCTTGAAATTCAAGTGGAAGCCTCTCTCCGAGCCAACCACAGGATGGATGTTTGAAGGCTGTGGTGGTAAAAACCTCAGAGGTTGTAGTAGGCTTTGGTACATTTGGGGAGAGGTAATTGGGCTTCTTTGGCATCTATTTTATGTTTCCTCCCATGCCCACTAACTTTTCACCTTTTCCTCCTCTTCCTCTAGCTTGGGTTTCCTTTGTCCGTCATGCCCATCTCCCTGTTCCTGTCTCTGGAGGACTCCAGTTGTGCTCATATAGGCTTGAAACCCTCCAGCTTCTTCCAAATTTTTGCTGTCTCAATGACAAGTAAAACTGCAAAGTTAGCAAGATGCTTGGTTCCCTCTCCCCTACCCTATTGATTCTAGTCATTCGCTTCAGAAAGAGCCTAGTGCCCCCTATAGCAAGAAGCCATAGGAGATTAGCCAACAAGTTAATTCCTGATTAATGGTTAGGAACAGATAACACCCTCACATATTTATATTCCTGGGCAATATGCCTTTTAAAAAGAGAACATAGGAGGAAAGCCATTGTTTAACCAAAACCTACAGACACCAGTTGTTGGGAGCTTGATATCGAGTGGTATTCCAGGGGAATAGTCTGTTCCCTGTAGTCGTCTTGTGCCCTTAAAACACCAGTAGCCCAACTTATCATCTCTGACTTCTGATTTCTGGAGTGTGTCTCTCCTTGGTGTTGGGTCCCAGGGGAACCACTACCTAGATCACTTTACTGTCTTTCCTTCCCCAAAGGCCGATGAGTTCACCATTGAGTCTGTCACCATAAGGAAGGTGAGGCGAGTGAGGATCAGACATGATGGCAAAGGCTCGGGCAGTGGCTGGTACCTGGACCGGGTGCTGGTGAGAGAGGAAGGGCAGCCGGAGAGCGACAATGTAGAGTATCCGTGTCTCAGGTACATGTGTCCCTCTTGCCTTTCTTTCCTTCACCTTGTTCTGGGGGAAGACCCAGCCCTCCTACCTGGAACAGAGAGCAAAACAATGGCTTAAGGTGGTTGGTGTAAGAAAGTTGATCTTCCTGAAAGAGCCTCACATTTCCACCCTACCCCTGATGGATCCAGACATTCAGTGCTCTTCTTAGTGCCAACATGATGGTTTTTCTCGTGACAAAATCTGACAATTTCTGAATTTTAATGAACTGTTAGTGAACTAGCTACATGCAGAATGAAACTTGTGAATACAGGTAGAAATTTTTTAGTAGCTTTCTTTAAATTTTTTTGATTTTATTTATTTTTATGTGTATGAGTGTTTGGTCTGCATGTATGTATGTGCAGCATGTGTGTACCTGGTGCTTGGGAGGCCAGAAGAGGGTGCTGGATTCCCTGGAACTGGAGTTAGAAACAGTTGTTAGCTGTCGTGTGGATGCTGGGAACTGAACCTGGATCCTGAGTAGCAAGTACTCTTAACCATAGAGCCATCTCTCCAGCTCCTTGAATAGCTTTCTGACCACATTTCTTCACTCGTTCCATCTTCTCACGGTATCTGACTTGGCTTGAATTTCTCTTTCTCAGTGTAAGACTGTAGTAAAGTTTCTATACTCATTTTTTTTGAAACATCTGGATTTCTTGAATAGCCATCTTGGGTGCCTGGTGATTTCTAAAGTCCCCATAGAGACATTTTAGAACAAGAAGTAATATCAGTGTTTTATGCAGTCCCAGTGGCTCTTATTCACCTGTGTTAATACCCGGAAAGTGCATACCACATGGTTAACTTGGGGCCCAAGTCCACACAGTTTCTTTCTTCATCTGAGATGTTTAATTCTCTTGGTAAGGAGGATAAAGCAGGTGTCTTTATCAGGATCAAATCTGAAAGAGTCTGAGCTACTTCAGGTCTGTGTGTGTGTGTGTATGTGTGTGTTGCACATATTACTGTGAGCCTCAGGGAAAGAGTCATGAAGTCACCAGCAGGCTGACATCCATTTAGCAACATCTCACTATAAAACTAGGCTGAAGCATTTGAAACTAAAAGGAAATGGCTTAAAAATATGTCTATTAATACCCCACAAGGATTTAGGTAGCAACAAAAGGATGTTTCATGGCTTCCTTTTACCCTCCGGGAGGACTGGAGCTTGGTTAACTGAGGAGACAAGGGAGAGTAGATGGGATTTTCCAGTGGCCAGTGGCCTGTTGGCTTCCATCCGTGGTCAGGCAACATCCCAGCCATTTCCCCTGCAGGATCACAGGATCTGTGACTGTGGGTAGACTCTGAGCTGCCAGTGGCCTTGGCAACACAGAGAGGGAAGTCCCAATGCATCAATTTTAAGGGAGTCTAGCTAGCAGTCTACAGTCCCCAATGCTTAGGATGCCACCCTGGGTCTTCACATTTTGGTGTCTTAGCTCAGTCTCTCTAGTTTCTGAATTATAGGCCCAAAGCTAGCAGAAGTGAATACTGTTTTATTGATAGCTAAGCTGGCAGCTGGGTCTCCAGGGAGTGGAGGACCTTGGGATTGGGGTGGGCAGTAGGCAAGAAGCAATGGAGAGACTGTGGTGTTGCCTTGTTTGTCCTGGGAAGGCCTGAGCTGCATGATAGAAGGGGTGGGGAAGAAGTAGCACCTTGGCTTCCTTTATGGGTTCTATGGATTTCTCCATGGGCTTGGGAATCTCTGTCCTCTCAGGAGTGGGCTGCAATGACGTGCACCAAGCCATACAAAAAGTAGGGAAATGCTTTGGTCAAGAAGCAAATGTCAACAGAGATTTTTCCCACTCAGCCAAATGAGCCATCTAGGATGCTGTCACCCCTGTACCATTCCCCAAGTGGCTTTCTGTAGCAGGGTGAAGATTGGCCAGGCCTCTCAGGAGGGAGAGTGTCAGAACTCCCCATGACCTGTTCTGTGCTCCTGTGGGCTCTTCATCTAAAACCTTGGCATCAGGTGCCATCTGCACATATCACACAAAATTTTTTAAATATTTTATTTTTTATTTAAAAAAGCAAATGTCTTGGCTTCTGACTTAGAGCAAGGCTTCTCATTTCCACTCACGATCTTTTATTGCCCAAAAATTTTTTTATATAATCCTAGGTATATAGGTAAATACAATAGCTATATAAATCAAACATTTGCTTATAATAGATCACAAAGAACTTTTAAAAAACAATTCTTTGGTAAAAATGTAATTTTACCAGCTTGTTAAAGGCAAAAGCAAATTTGCATACTAATGAGATAGATGGGCTTATTAATTTTTACTTAAAGAATTAGATCTTGTCTGAATATTTGATTCTGTAGACTGTAGAGTACTTTCAACATTTTTCAGAGTTGATCAATATTTTGATTTTTATAATCAATGTTGAGAATACTCCTTTGCATAAATACATAGTACAAAATGGCAACAGTATGTTTAGGGTCATTTCAGAAATTGTTGGAAATTCTGTTCTAATCCCAAGCCAAAATTCATTTCATGATCTTTTAAATCAAATTCAAGTCAGCAACTCAAACAGCAATTTTAAAAATCAAATATTCTAACACAATACAATCCAAAGATAGACTAGGTTGACACACACTGAGGAATGACAGACAGTAGGAAAATACTAAAAATCTTTGACTTCCATAATGAACTATTATGTTTCTATAAGAGCAGAAAACTTTATATGTAAACACTTTGCGGTCCATAATGTACACTGGTCTTGAATCTGAGCTGGGTGCTTCAGGCAGTGTTGGTGTTACATGCTGCAACGACATGCACAGGCAAAATGTACATGCTGTGTGTTCAGAGCCAATGCTACAGTGAAGTCACACAGTGCAACACAGGCAAGTGTTGTATCTAAGTGTTGTTACCACCTTAGATTCCTTATGCAGTTTTCCCAAATTAATGTTATATGTTCAGAATCTTTTTTCTGTTGCCAAAATTTCACAATTCCCACATTCAGTTCCACACCTCCCTGTGGGATCACGCTCCACAGTCTAAGAGGCTGGGTCCTAGGGAACACTGGGGCTGTGTCGCTGTCTTTGGCACTAGATCACAAACTAGCCTACCTATGAGATATAGACCACTCATGCTTGCTCACGTTGGTTTCTCAGGCTGGGCCTCTGTGTGCTGTGGGAAAGGTGCTTTGCAGGTAGATAGTGCCCATGTCTTCCTTCTGGGCGAGGACCAACCAAACTGGGGCCACTGCTCACTGTGACATATCAGTGAGCTGTAGCTATCAAACACCAGCCCTGCAGGCCACAGACCCAGCTTATTCTTGAAGTCAAATCTCACCCATCTTTGAAGATTCTGATTCAGGTCTCTTCTCCCATCTCTAAATCCTTATAGTTCTTACTTTGTCCAACCCTATCCTCACCTTGGTCCCCCATGCCTAATTTAGTCTATCCTATCTTCTTGACCACACTGTAGGCTTCCAGCAGCATGGACCATGTCTTAGCTCCCCTAGTGTCCTCTCTCTGCGTTCTCCCATCCAGGGCCCTTGGCACAGTGCCACACACACAGTTGACTTTAAGAAGAGATGGTTTTGGCAATGACAATGGCTTTTTATCCTGATCCTGTGGCCTGTCCCCCCCCCCATTTACCAGCACTCTGTCCTTCACTTGCTGTATTCTGGCCATATGGGCCTTTCATCCACTTCTAGACTTCCATCCCAGGATATGTTTTTCCTTTGAGATACTCCTTCCTCTTTTCCTGGCCAGTATCTTGTTACATTTCCAATTTCACCCTGCAGTCACCTACTCCAGAAAGCCTTCCTTTCCTGGTCTGGGCTGTGATACTTTGTTAGGAGTTCTCATAGACTCACCTTCTTTCATGGAACTTAAAGCTCTGGACCTCCTGGTAACTGCTTGTGTGATATGATGGTTGGGTTGTCTGTCTACTCCATTCAGAGAACTAATATTCTTTTCTCCCTGTTTGCTCACCAGGTGGCTGGACAAGGATAAGGATGATGGGCAGCTGGTTCGAGAGTTACTGCCCAGTGACAGCAATGCCACACTCAAGAGTGAGTTGTCCTGCTGGCCAGGTGGTGGGCATCCCCTTGACATGACAGTGTCTTTCCTCAGCTGTATAGGAGTGAGCCCTTCAAGAAGATGCATGCTCTTCGCTTTATTTCAGGGACACAGCACTGGGGAGGTGGAGAGAAAAGACACTGATGGAGGTCTGGAAATTTTTTGTATGTCTGTGCTTGAAGTCCATGTATGACTATGGTGTGGGGCCTTAATGCACATGGGTCAATGGAGAAACAAGAACAATAATACCACATAATGGTGCCAAGCACAGGGACACCTACTGCTGCCCTGTGAGCAGAAACATGCTTTGAAGGGACTGTTTGAGGACTTTTTGCACTGCTGAACATTGTTCTGGAACGTTATAGTTTTCTTAATGATGAGGTTGTTCATGAGCTTTAGATAAAATTTTTTAAAATGTATCTTCAGAATCCCAACCATGCCAGCACTCCATGTTTATCACCTCTGTCTCACCTGAGCCCTGGAATACCCCCCAAAGGGAGGTGAACTGTGGTTATCAGTTTGTCAGATGGAGAAACTAAGGTCTGGAAGACCTAGATATTTTTATTTGCCCTTTACTAAGGTCAGTCACAGAGTTGGATGTCCAGTGTCTGGGCTCAGAATCACAGGGCCTAAGAGCTGGGAAGGACCACAGGAGGAGGAGTGATCCATGCCTATAGTAAGGGAACACCCCCATGACTGGAACACCTAGGCCTAGGGTTACAGATTGAGCTGGGATCAGTTCCCAGAGTCTCTGACTCACATTGCTGTGCTTCCCACTCCAGCAAGCTCCCGCCTCACCCTGCAGATGGAGTGTCCACCCTCCTGCTTTCCCAGTTAGACCTCGGAAATGATTTTGATGGAAACTGGTATAAGAAAGAAGTCTCCTAGCTCCCAGTGTGTCTTTTAGCAGCCAAGACAGATCTGTTTCCTCCAGTGCCCTTGGATGTCCCTGATGCAGCTGATCTGACCCAGGCTGGGTCTGTTTGCATCTGCAGAGCTAGCTCCAGGCATGGGCTCAGCTGATACTCCCAGACGTTTCATCCAAGTGGGAAGACCCTAAAGCAGCAATGAGTGGCAGACCTTGGAATTTATCTTCTTTGTCTAATATAGATACCCTGGAAGCTGCCTGGATGACTGGATCCTGGCTTATTTTATCCTAGAACTTGTCTTTTTCTCTGAGCAGCTGGTTCGAGAGTTACTGTCCAGTGACAGCAATGCCACACTGGAGTGAGTCGTCCTGCTGGCCAGGTGGCGGGCATCCCCTAGGCATGACAGGTGTCTTTCCTCAGCTGCATAGGTGTAAGCCCTTCAAGAAGATGCATGCTGAGATCTGGCTTTGGTAGACTAAGGCTGAGATTCTAGCAGACAGCCTGAGAGGGTAGGTTTGGACCTCCAATAGTATAGCGGCTCAGGTCTCAACAGACCGCCAAAGAGTACCTAGTTCTGGCCTCCATCTATCAGAGGGCCTGAGAACCCAAGGGACTGCCTGAGAATCCCCAGATCCTGCCTCCACGTGGTGGTCCTTTTAATAAGATGATGCTGTACAGCAGTCCCTTCTGCATGAAATATCTACCATCATCACGACTTCAGCTGAGCCTGATCTCTAAACATCATCACAATTGGGCTTGTTGACAGTTGTGCTCATTCATTAAAGGAGGGCCAAGCAGTGTCACTGGACCCTTACTGGAGTATCCAGCCACTCTCCCCAGCCAACTGTATGTAATTTGACCCTAATCACACATGGTCTCCTGGATTTGGGGAGGCCTAAAGTATACAATCTGTGGAACACTAGGAAGAGAAGCCATGACCCATGCTGTCCAGTGCCATCCATGACTCATGTATCACCCAGGTCCATCCAGTGTACATCCCCTCAGGTTATACATGCACCTCAGCAACCCCTCAGTTATCGCAAGGCCTTTGAGGGGGAACTGACACTGATTCTGGGGACTTATAGAGCTCAGAAGGTCAGGTGTTTGGCACAAGATTTGGGGAGGGCTACTCCAACAGCTATCAAAATACTTGAAACCAAATCCTGAATCCATCACTCTAGAGTCCAGCCTTGGAAGACAAAAGAAAAATGAGGAAGAACCCAAAGAGGGATGCTTTTGGAAGCCCTTGTCAAGAAATTCCAATGGACTCTCACATGAACATTTGAAAATGGCTCTGTTCTGACTTTTTTCTAGTTCCCTGTCTAGAACTTGTAATGCTAATTACTCTTGCCTTCTCCTTCACATCTCCTATTCACGACTCAAGGATTTTCTTTTTCCCTTAGAGATAAGCATTATGCAATTTGGTAGTCTTTTAGATAGACCCACTGAAGGGGTACCCCAGTTGCCTCACCCTGAGTCCCTGTTCAGCATGGAAGAAGCCAGAGCGGTCTGCATCCCTATTCCCTATTGGCAATTTGAGTAACCCCTTCAGAGGATGGCGTGATAAGAATAGGAGGTAGGAATTGGCTAGGCAATTAGGGTAAAAAAGTCTCCAAAGAAAAGTAGCCAGTTTCTTTGCTAAAAGTCAAAATGTCTTTGGGACTTTTAGCAACATACTCTGTTCCAAAGACCCAAAATGTGAAAGTATTTGGGAGCTTATATATAATCTTTAAAAGATTTTAGGGTTACCTTTTCAGAGTGGGGAATGTTAGAGTACCCAAAAGCCCCATAAAAATAAATCAATGAAAGAAGAAAAAAAGAAAAAAAAGTGATGGGGGGATTGGGAGGTGTTGGAAGGGATGGAGTGGGCATGGATTTGATCAAAACACCTATATGCATGTATATGCATGCATGTTCTCAATAAAGTTTTTGTAAAAGTTAAAAAAAAAAAGAAGATGCATGTTCTTCACTTTATTTCAGGAACTCAGCACTGGGGAGGTGGAGAGAAGATCCACTGGGGAGGTGAAGTTTTGATCCTTGCTCACAGGCAGTGCAGTACATGTTGTGGGATCTAATGGAATAACATCCACATGGTGTCCTGTTGGGGATCAGGCTTTAGGTCTAAAACATAATTTCACTCCTGGCTGGTAACTTGTTAACTGTCACTATCTTGTGCCAAGCACCTGACCTTCTGAGCTCTATAAGTCCCCAGAAAGCTGGGATGACCATGCTTAGCAATAATACCATATAATGTGTGCTAAGTACTGGAAAGTCCTGTGTGTCTTTGCCTCGGTTTTCTCACCCATCAGTAGCTGGATTGGGGGATTGCTGGAGATGCTTAGAGCCTGGAATTTAGCTGTTCTTGTCGACAATCTGCTCTCCTTCTCCTATCACACCACCCTTCATGGAACAAGAACATGCAGGTCATCTATTTGGACCCTGGTTTTTGTAAATGAGAGGTATCTATAGAGACGGAGGGAACCCCTACTCCAGTCACAGGTTCAGGTTCCTGACTCAATATTCCTGACTCCTAGCCCACATCTGCCCTGGATGCAGGATGCTTTCCTGCTCCAGAACTTCACTCCCTGCCACTCAACCTGCACTAACATCCTCCTTTCTCCTTCTATTTTGTCATGTTCAGACTTCCGCTATCACATCAGCGTGAAGACGGGGGATGTTTCTGGGGCCAGCACAGATTCTAAGGTCTACATCAAGCTCTATGGAGAGAAATCCGACACCATCAAACAAATACTTCTTGTCTCTGACAACAACCTCAAAGACTATTTTGAACGTGGCCGGGTGGATGAGTTCACCCTAGAGACGCTGAACATTGGAACTGTAAGTGTACAACCTAGAATCAGGTGACATCATCTGTCCTAGTTTGCTTCTCTGTTGCTGTGATAAAACATAGACCAAAAGCAACTTGGGGGAGGAAAGCATTTATTTCAGCTTACAACTCCTAGGTCACAGTCCATCTGAAGTAAGTCAGGGCAGCAATCCAAGGCAGGAACCTGGAGGCAGGAACTGCTACAGAGACCATGTAGAAACACTGCTTACTGCCTTCCTTCCCCAGGCTTGCTCAGCTACCTTTGTTATATAGCTCAGGCCCACCTGCCCTTGGGATGCCACTGCCCACAGTGGGCTGAGCCCTCCTACATCAATTAGCAATCAATTAGAAAAATGCCTCACAGTCACAGCCACAGGCCAGTCTGATCGATCGCCACAATTCTTTAGTTGAGATTCCCTATTCTAGGTGACTGTAGTTTGTGTCAAGTTGACCAAAACTAACCAATATATCATCTCACCCATGTTTCTGCATGGATCCACATGTGTCTACACACACACACACACACACACACACACACACACACGTGTGTACATGGGTGAGCCCATTTTGAAGGAAAAGAAATGTACACTTAGGGGTCTTTAGTGAGGTATGCTGTTTTCCTCCCATGACTAGAGCAGCTGCAGATATGTGAATACCGGCTATGCTTCCAGAACCTCATTTTTAGTATCTTTACCACCAACACTTTTACCTACATGCCAGGATTAGTGTAGTTGGGATATAGATTCTAGAAGAGGGGGACACTAGATACAAGGATGGAAAAAGGAGGAAGACCAAAAGGAAGAACTGAAAATATTCCCCAATTCCAATTCCAGGATTGAGTGTTCTTTTTTTTTTAACTTTTACAAAAACTTTATTGAGAATTTCATACATGAATATAAGGTGTTTTGATCAAATCCATGCCCACTCCAACATTCCCCCTTCTGAAGAGGTAACCCTAAAATCTTTTAAGGACTAGATACAAGCTCCCAAATATTTTCGACAGTCCTGTTGCTAACAGGCCCAAGGACATTTTGACTTTTAGCCAAGAAACTGGCTACATTTCTTTGGGGTCTTTTTACCCTAACTGCCTAGCCAATTCCTATCTCTTATTCTTATCATGCCATCCTCTGAAAAGGTTACTCAAATTGCCAATAGGGAATAGGGATGCAGACCGCTTTGTCTTCTTCCATGCTGAACAGGGACTCAGGGTGAGGCAATTGGGGTACCCCTTCAGTGGGTCTATCTAAAAGACTCCCAAATTGCATTAACTCTTATCTCTAAGGGA